TGAAACAGAACCCACGACGGGTTTAGTGTTTTTTCAACAGGTTTAGTCTTTTTCAACAGGTTTAGTCTTTTTCAATAGGTTTAGTGTTTTTCAACTGAATTAGTGTTTTCCGGGGTTTCCACTCAACGGACTATAATCAGTTTCTGACACATTGCCAAACTGGAGTATAGGCATCTGGACATTTACCACAGACTCGTGAAAGTTGTATTTTTTTTATGAAGACAGTATTAATACTGTGATCTCATGTCACAAATATTCATATGGAAGATGATGTTATTGCAATATTTCTGTAGACAGATATTAATTTTTGTTAAGAGTGCAATGTTTTGTATGTAACTAATTAAACTCGACACACCGGAAACAGGAAAGTGTATTTGTGTTTACTTTTGAAAGAAAAAATGCTCTCCCTAGAAACCATCAACATCTATGTTGGTTTTACAAGCCCCAGTTTCGACAGATTTTTGTTAATGCCTCGCATAATCTAATTAAAATAAGATCTTATTGGGCTTTTTTTGCAATTTTTACCTATGTTTTTTTCCGAAAAAAAAAAATTATTTTATTAGTCTGATCCCCAAAGCCCATAGATCTGCAAGAAGAGATCTAACCACTGAGAGTAGGTCTTACATACTGTAACTAGGACATCTTGCCTTATACACTTGCCTTATCTAACGCCCTTTCTGAATGGCTGGTTGTTGCTGTGAGATTTCAATGAGACCTTTAATGCAGGTTGGTAAAATCTATGGGCTTTGGCGATAAAACTAATAAATTAAAATAGTAATTTTATTTTTTTAATCAGATTGTGTCCAGCATAACTTTTCCTGGGAAAAAAAAGAGGGGAAATGATGTATGTTGGTACGTATTACAATACTGTAAGTTCATATTGTAGAGACCCAAATGTTGCAATATATAAGTTGTATGATTAAATTACTGTAAAAAAGAACCCAAATATACATCAAAATATATAGATATTTATTCTTCTATTTTTTAATTTATCGTTCTATTTTTCAATTTCTTGTTCTATTCTTTAATTTATTCTTTTATTTATTTATCTATTCTTTTATTTATTGGTGTTTTTTCAATTTTTCAATATCTCCAGAACTATGAGGCACATACAAATTCCGAGACACATTTCCAATCATCTTATAAAGCATCAGTTTAAAGATCAGACACGTAATAAAAAGAACACCGAGAAACGGCCAATCCCACAAAAAAACTCTATGCTTGGGAGGTTCACGGACACGATCGTAACTTAATATTAATCCGAAACATGTATGATCGTATTCTGCTACATCTCGGCTTTCTGGGATATAGCATATCCCATAGCATATATGCCATAAATACATGCGGGGAAAGTCCTAATTTCAATTATATTGAACTATAACTTGTGTTTCCCCTCTCGCTACCTTAACAAGACACATGGAAAATATGTATCAATTAAAAGCATCTCAACTTGTAATCTTGATTGGTATATATACTAACAACAAAAATGGAAATAAATAAAACTTTTTGTTTCCACAAAATCTAACTACTTTTTTGATTTCCAAAAACTGAAGTGATGCAATTGGCAGTAAACCCATGAAAATACCAAGTAAATGAATCAATGATTTATAAACATATTATGAATTGTAATTTTTAGAATTCGTTCATTGCATGCATCAGTTCTCCTTAAACCAGGTTGAAATTTGCGAGAGAAAAAAAGATTGTGTATATGGTTTATTCTCACCGTATCTTTTTTGGTTTTATATCAACATCAGCTTTTTCTTTGATGCCAGTTTTATCATTGGACTTTATTACTTGGGCAGGTTTCATTGAAACTAATAAAAGTTTGATAAAATACAGTTTACCTAACATTACCAGGCTTCATTATCAAATATAATGCAAGTAAATATATACATGACCTGTCATGTTCAACACATAACGTAACAGTCAAATTGGTTTGTGGTAGTACAATAATTGTTTATATAAGTATGTGAATTAATAATACGATACAAATGAAAATTATGTTTTTGCAAAACCCTCTTATTTTTGTTTAAACAAAGACAACATGACTGATTTATACATTAAACGTACCTAAAACCTATATCTTGTCGGTCTTCAACAAAATCACTATTCTTTTTTTTTTCGTTGACGTTTTGCTGATATTTGTTCACGACATTTTATCTTTCTGAGGGAGGATAAATTGTGTGCCTATTTTCCAACCTCATGTTCACAAACAACTATTGTACCAACAATTGATTTTAGAGCTAATAAACATACTGTAGCTGTAAGTTAGTGGCACTGGTCAAAATCATACATTTTCGTATTCACACGCGTATATTTCCGATATTCGAAAGTATACGTTAGTCAGCGCACACGTACGTTCAACATGTGTACGCGAAATACGCACCGTATATTCACACATTCGGAACATACTGATACGTAAATATACACAGACCGGGATTATGCAGTGCACACATTAACGTACACGTAATGCAGAACAACGCTGTCTTACGTAGTTCTACGTATACGTAGTATATAGAGTTAATACCGACGTAGATTTTGTGTATACTTGACACATTTGAACTACACGCTATTGGCTGTTTTTCTCAGAACATTTGCATGCAGGTTGCCACTGGAGGCCAAATTTCATTTCCGTTTCAATGGGAACGTTCGTTCGCGGGTGCCGCAGTTCCTGTAATATTACTAGTTTTTTTTAATTTTGTTTATATATTTATAAACAAAATACACAACCTAGCAGTCACAGTTAGGAAGATAAAGGTTAATGCCATGCCTGTTGCCATCCCTATGATCAGACCAAACTCAGGTTATTTTCGTTGTCGGTCAACAACTACTGTAATAACTGGAACAACACACGCTAATATAAATATAAAACTTACCATTAAATCTCTCTCGAAATGTTTGTCCTCAAAATGGTCTGAACAAAGTCGAGTACGTGTCGTCACTTTCAGGTTAGTTCCTCTGCCGATTTTTCGTAACCAACAACTTACGTGATTTTTCGTTTGGGATTTTGAAAAACTTGACATCAACTGGGGTATTACGTGAATCGTTATGGCACCCATAGGCACAACACCTCACCATGTTTCAATTTGTAAATTGTCAGTAACAAGGACTTATAGTAAAGCTTCTATGGGATAGTTGTACTAGCGTGAATGGATGCAATTGTCGATGTTCACTAGTGACGTCATTAACGATCGCCCCCCTATGGTCGAAATGACGCCATGCAAAGAGGACGTTTGTCGTCTGCTTCACAGCCTGGTTTTTACCCGATTTATACGGCCTTCCGCACCACATGCAAGTTGTTTTTATCGCCAGAGTTCATCCTTAGATCTCAAATTACCTGCACAAAGCGGCAAAAGCCACACCTCTGCTCCCCTTTAAGGACATTTTCAAACACTTAAAAATGATTCAGCTTCAAAGCAACTATACATGTATGAACTATTTGTGTTGAAGTACCACTAAAATATTAGCTGATTTTCAAAAATAATCAGCAATTCATGATGTTGATTTTGATAATCTCAAATTATTATATTGTGCACATACTGACTAAAATAATTGGAAACATTGACAAGAACCTTAATTTCTCTGTTCATATTTTAAACATTTTGTAGTACCCCATAGGTCTATATGATATGAATGAAAATAAAACTAAGGAGAAGATCAAATTACTGAAAATGATATCAGATAAATATGTGCTTACTTTCGTGGACATAAATGGCAAAGTTGAAATAGTAGAGCCTATATTTTTTGGTAAGTACTTACTATTAGTAGCATAATATTAACTTTAATCATAGCATAGCCCTATTTCTACCAGCGTTTTAGTACTTAACAAATTTGCCAAAAACTTTGATACCATCATACTTGCTCTATCATATATCAATAGCCCTTGTGTTTAATGACACATTATATTATGGTCAAGCAAGTCTTATTTTAACATTTACCGGTATTTAAGCAACATACGTAATACACTTTTATTAGTGCAAAAATTCTGATAAAATTATCAAACGCTCATCTTGCACGTGGGGATAGATTAACTGATGAACGTGCTCAGGGAGCAGAGCGTGCCATGTCAGATGCTACGACTTCTGTGATAAGGTTTGATGGGATAATTCCTAAGTGCGAGGATTTTCATTGTGAAATGAATGTTATGGAGGTATTGATGATACTCTATTAGTTATCAATCTAATTTAAGTGCACATATACCAATATTTGCTCCTTGTATACTGTAACTTTCCTGTTTTGTACATTTAGCATGTCTTAATTTGTATTTTTTCACAGGCTACATACAAACTAACTTATGACGAAACCAGTTCAGTAGATATTTGTACAGCCGTCTACTTTAGAAATGTTCCGAAATATAAAACTGTGACCAATAAAGTCAAGTCATCATACAGGCCTAACAACTCCATGTATTTTCTGATACATGATGCACAAATATGTGTTATGTTGATGACTGAACTGAATATGGACACTTGATTCAGTGGTTCAGCTTCCCTTATAATTGGAGGATGCAGATGCTAGAATAACATGGTATATGGATCATTGTACAACTGTGGTATCCAAATACTTTTTGGATGAATTGGACATTTATTCCAGTGTAAGGGATCTATTTTATGATGAGGCAATGCAGGGTAATTATTGGCAACAAAGGTTAAATGATGAAAACAGATGAAAAACTGCACGATATTATATCTTGATCTGGGGGCGGGTACAATTTCAAGATTTCGAGAACTGCTGAAATTGATAGTTTCAATCTAAAAATTGGAAGTATTTTCTGGAAAACATTAAATATACATTTTGACAATTTTTTTTCAACAAGAGACTAGCCGAGTACTCCTCATAAGACCTTGATATCACTTGTGAATAGAGCTGTTTTGATATACAAGTGATATCGTCCAACAAGTGACATCGTAGACGATATCACATCCATAAATGGAATGATGGGTACCATAATAATGGATGTTATGATAAATGTCACTCAGATCTACAATATTATTGGTTGATGTTGAAATATTAACATAAAGCTTTTTTTTCACTTTTTTGCAATAACAATATTAAATTGTTCTGCCTGCAGATGCAAATGCCATACCGGTGAGAAGACTTATAAACATCTCAATAGTCTTATTGCCCATGAAAAAGATGTCCATAACATAATATCGAAACCTAGATGCGCAGAACAAGTGCAAAGAAATGATCAGGAAGAGGATGCGATTCAGAACCTGCTGCACCGCAACCTCGCAGATGCTGGAGATGGGGCACGAAGTGTTCGATCTACTAAATATGAACTTGGAATTTACAATCGGACCAATAAAATAAAGTATCTTATAGCTTGTATTCATTTGCAGTCTCTTGTCTAAGCCAGCTTAAGTGCCAATGAAGCACATTGGCTGACTTGGAATAGAACTGTAAATGTTGGAGGTGATAGGTAGGTGGTTATCACAATTAAGCCATTGACGGTTATGTGGAGATAGTAAACAGAGAAGTTAAGCGCCCATGTAAAGGAAATCAAACAAAACAATCCTGTATATAAATCAGGCTTCTTTGTATAGAGTTCAAATTAATATGACTAAAAATATTGATACCTGCACAACCTTCCATAGAAGGAAAGGAATACATAAAGTATCTAACCGTGATCAAGACCTGGGGAAAATAGTGTCAGATTTAGTCAGTAATAATGCAATTAGTACATGTACCAGGGAGGAAACTTAAATGCAAATGATTAAAAAGTATTAGGAGACTCTTTGGCAACGATGCACACAAAAGCTTACCAGAAATGATATCAAGGCACAAGCAGCATACAACAATTACTACACACTGGTAACGTGCATTCTGGGTGCACTTTACTCGGGCCACAGAAATGTAATACGAGAGGGTTCAACACACGTTTCATGTTTTCAGATAATTTGGTTGAAAAATGGTTGGCTGTGCCCAGCAGAGCTGATATGAATGTTTTTTGTCAACAAATAAAATGCAGTTGTATTGCCTACAAGGATCACCCTCGGTACATGATATGAAATGAATCCAACCAATGGTTTCATAGTTATAAATGTATATAGGGGACAAATTCAATTAGTTATTTATTATTGGCATTGTATCAACATTGGATTAAAAATATCCCAAAAATAAAAATTATCACATATTCAGAGGTATTTGTTTGAATCTGTTGGAGAAAAATACAGATCCTCATATCACTTGTAAATGACAAATATATGAATTATGGGCAACAATGTGTTCAATTCTCGTTTATCACTGGATAACATAATAAATTGGTCATCAATAACAAAGCCCATACTGATTGCATAATCGACTAAATCGGTGGATGAAAAAAATATGACAACAGCATGGTTCATCCAGGAGGCAGCTATAATATTTTCATCATCGACTAAGGCTCCAATTGTAGTCACGTACTGCTCGACAGTAAAGCTTTCAAACGATGCACACCTTACTGCATGCTTCCGAGTAAGGGAGACACCGGGTGGTCGATCAGTGGAGGTCGCCATCTTGGCTGAATCCCACCCAACCACAAACAAAAAACAAATCCAACAAAAATCACAGCAATCCGCTGTCAAGATTCAACAGAAATACTAAAATAAGTAAAGCAATGTATTTACAAATAGAAATATTTACAGAGATCACAGAGATTTTTGCCAACAAAATTTCACACGGGAGGAGCTCTTCTACGTACCGACAGCAGCGACAACTTGTATGATAAAGAATAAAAGGTAAAAAACTAAGCAAATACATTCGCCCAAAAATATTAAAACTGAACAATTAAAACATAATACAAAAATTAACTGTAAACAAAAATTGTCACTGTTGTTGTTTTATTTCAAAATACTTCTTTTAATATTTAGGCACATTGCTACAGAGAGTGTTAAACTACTGTTGTTTAGCAAGGCTGTGAATTTTGGATTTTTGCAATTTCAAATAAATCATATCGTTCGGGGTATATCTTTTGCATGACATCATTAGGTACTCACCTACTTGATTTTGATCACGAAGGTTGCATAATCTGTTGGCAAGGGATATTCCTTTGTATCTGCCAGTTCAATTGTCAAGTCATGGTCACTGAGGCAGAATTTTGTGAAATTTTCAATATTTTGCTAGGTTGCATGGTAGGTTTCAAAAGCAAAATTGAGTTTTTATCTCTCTGTATGTTCTTAACTTTTTTTTCCGATTGTCATTATGTAATTTATTTTTCCAAGTTGATATGAATGATGTTTGTAT